AAGGATTAAAGAAGGTAATATGAAATATCAACGTCTCATTCCCATTTTAACTTACGAGCAGTAACGGTATTAGTAAAGAGGTGGTTTAATTACTCCTATAACAAGAGATACTAATTGCGTTATGTTTCGAAACATTTTTACCATAATCATTATAAGATATAATAAGTTCATCATCAAGCATTGGTCCGAAGCGTAGCGGACATTGACCTTGCCGCCGTACATCGAGCTTGCATAAATTTTTGTACGAAATTTTTAGAAATAGCGGAATGCTCATCCCGTGTTCCTAGCTCGTGGGAGGATCCCCTTATTACTTTAATATTAGGCTATTCGGAAACTGACGAATTTTTCAGTCCTAGTTTAATTAAAATTTGTAAAAAAAAGGATGAAAAGTTTTTTCACCGCTGCGGAAATCGATTCGGCGTCTGCAGGATTCTCGCCTAAACACATTAACCACTAAGTTACTCGTCAACAGCTTGACGTGGGTTCGATTCTCGCCGGGTTGAATAAACTTTTTGTCCATTTTTCAACAAATTTTAATATTTCATCTTAAATTCAGGGACTTAGCACACTAAAAAATCTCCTATACACTATCCTATAATTTTTCTTAATTACGTACAATATTTAATAAAATAATAAATAACGTAATTTTTCAGTTACAAAATACAAAGGTATGGAGGTTAATATACAGATAGGCGATAGTTAGGTACGATCTGACGTAATCCTTGGGTCAGATATAGGTCATTAAAATATCAGTAGGTCAGTCAATATCAACCAGGCAATGTTTTTTCCGCACACTCGATGTCCACTTATAAATTGTTAAACGAATTACTTTACCACGAGTTAAACTACAAACCGTATTTTCAATTCACGCCTGAAACGTAAGGAACGAAAGGAATTTTACATATTGTACTTTGAATCGAGAGAAACACGAGAAATATATTTCCGCTCGCATTTTCCATGAAAACCTTTTCTGTGACCTTACGCTCGGAATTTCATTTGGAAAAAACAACGAGGGAATATATTTTGAACCAAAATTCCGATAATAACTTCTGATTGAAGAGAATATATATTCATGACAATCACGCGGTTTGCCACGAAGTTGCCTACTAGTTTTGTTTTGTTTCAGCTGAAATATACGCGTATCTAGAGGTATACCGTAATAGGTATAAGGTAATGTACGGATCTGATATTCTAGGGCTTTTAAAATTTAAAAAACGTATCTTTTTCTAAATAAATATTAAATAAGCCTGGCCTAACAAAAAACAATTAAAATCTGTCTTTTGATTATTAATATGATGATATTATTATGAGTTAATATTTAAAAAAAATTAACCTTGATTTAAAGTCTTCGATTTGAAATCGACTCATACTTTCATGACTTTATGGTCCTTTAGCGTTAATGAATCAAAGTTTTAATTTGAATACATCAATTTTGTTTAGGGGAAAGATGATCCGCTTGCTGTGAGTGCACTTGCTCCTCCGATGTAGGAGTCGCAGCTGTATTGCCAGTTATGTCTTAGCTTAATTTAAAACATATGTTTTAAAATTTATATTCCGAGAGAGATCTCGATTTAGAGATAAATATTATTATTATTAATATCATAAAATAAAATCGTAGATCATGTCCTCTAAAGCTAGTGTTCCATTTTTGTCCGCGTTTGCTACGACAGGTAATATGAAGTGTAGAATTTCAATAGAAAATAATGTCAATGAAATCAGTTGAATTTGGACTCACGGTCTCTTATCGGCGAGACCCGCCACAAGCCTTAACTTCTAACAAATAAAAAGGTCAAGGATTATTCTCGTCAGCGGGTTTCCTAAGCTTTTATCTTAACGTCGCACGCAGATAACCAAAAATTTTCACTATGGGAAAAAGAAAAGCAGTTATTCAAATACTTCTGTAAATACGTGTCAAAAATACAAACAAACTAATTAATTAGAGATTAGTTAATATATATTAGTATATTATATAGTTCAGAACATGTGAAATATATTCGTTTCCAAGAATACAACTTAGCTACAGGTTTATTTGAAACTGCTGATGAGTTATTATGACGCTGTTTTAAAATAACGTATTCGATGGATTTTTTGGTCGACAAAATTGAGTATTTGCCCTAGTAGGACTCGAACCCACCTCCCCGAAGACGAAGCAAAGGTGCAAGCAAACAAGCGCGCTAGAAGTGGTGTGACGCCGTCAGAATTCGCAATGGCTTATTGGGTCACTGTTATGAATGCAAGCTATTGTTAATAAGGTTAGATTCTTACATAAGACACATTTACGTGCTCTCTAAATAGTTCCGTTTGTTGAACTTGCCAAGTCATAGAAATTACTTTCTAGTATTTTTGTGACGTATGTACATACAAAATAATAATTGCAACTATTCCGTTCTTAATAGAGCCGAAGGTCGTCAATGATGTACTTAGTTGCATATTTTGTCATGTTTATGAAACTCTCAGCGAATCATGGCGTTTCTTGTTCGGGTGTCTGCTAAATTTATAAGTATAAGCAGAAAGTCTATGCTTAATATGCTTTTATAAGCTGGTGTCTGATGACAGCGAAATTAATGGGCCACTTTTAATCCAGAGATTTTGTTAATAGGTTTAACTTAATCCCCGCACTAATATGGATAATACAAAAATACTAGACCCGAATATACCTAGACATACCGTTCATTGCCGGTAATTGTTTCAACAATATAGAATAACGCCAACGTAATGTCGCATCCAAATTGAAAATAATTTCAGACTAAAATCATTTTAATATGAACTGATCTAGGCTCTAAGAGCAACTCATAAAAATCGTATAAAATTGTGCCGAATACATATTTTAATCTTTAGGCTTTTAATACTTTGTTGTTATTATCTAGGATAAACATCAGAAACATATTAAATAATCGTTACGAGCAAACAAACTGTTATCTGATACGTAGAACACATAGCTACGAGTATGTTGATAGACTAATGCATGACGTCTCTCCGACAATAATAGTTTCTATGTGAAAGTGGCCGAATAAGGAAATATTTCATTCTGCTATCGACATTAAAAAAATAATTTAAGAATTAGGAGAATACTGAGCAATATAAAAAAAAAACATTTATTGTGCAAAAATAAGCGGCTTTAGTTTTGTATGAGTATTGTAAGTATGAAGTCGATAAAAGAAAACGCCCAAAGAACGTTTCGATGATGCTATTACTTTCAAGTAAAGTAAGCGTTGACGCGGCGTGCACAGATTAATAAAAACCCAAGATGAATACAAACTTCATCAATAAAGAAAATTGAATGTTATCGCCGGCAATGATGCGGTACTAAATAACCGAAGGGGTATAAAAACAACCCGAAGGATAACGCTAACTACGTATTAAGGAAAACACAACGGGATTTTTGCTCTCAAACGATAGGAAGAATTGCGGCGGAACAAGTATATAGGAGGAGAAAAGTATTGGATAATCAAGATAGGCACTTCACTTATTAGAAATAAAATTGTATTTATGTAAATATATATTATATAATATATAGTTGTAAAAACGGAGTACAATCTCAGGTAATTTCTTCTTTTTATCAAAAACTATTGTTCGTAATTTTGTTGTAACTTTTTATGAAACTTTGTATACAGCGTTTCGTTACAACCGCGACCATAAATGAACACACGTCTAACGCTACTTGCCAATAATCATAAAAAAATATAAAATGTTAGAAATTTCATAATAAAAAATATATTTTTCAAACAAACTAATTAAATAAAAAAGAAACAAAATTTGAAACATCCTATACAACTACAACTGAGTGATTTATACATTCAGTGACGTTTTCATTCGTTGCCACAACATCGCATTACAAGTCTCTTCTTCTATCAGTATGTTTTATCTCTTTTAAATTCATTCAACCCATTGATGACACCGTGGCGCAGTTGGCAAGGTATTGGCTTCGGCGTCGGGGGTCGTGGGTTCGATTCCCACACGGGACAACTATTTGTGTGACCCACAGATAGTTGTTTCGCATCTGGGTGTTTTTCCGCGTGAAATTTATGTTTGTAAAACGTCCTTTACAACACAGGATAATATTATCCTAAAGTAAGGGCAGTGTTTTTAAAAAAAAAAAAAATAAATAAAAAAATAAAAAAAAGATATGCTTTGTGGCCTTTACAAATGAACTTTACGTAACAGTTTTATACTTAAGGGTGTTCTAAAAATGTTTGTTTTGTAAAATTTAATAACTCGGTAATATTGATGTTTAAAGAATGTAAATGCTTAATACAATTTTAAAAAGTTATCCTCTATATGTGTGTCCATTTATTGTCGCAGTTGTAACGACACGCTGTATAATATCATGCGCTATCCTTACTAATATTATAAAGTCGAAAGTTTGTATGTATGGATGGATGTTTGTTACTCTTTCACGCAAATACTACTGAATGGATTTTAATGAAACTTTACAATAATTTAGCTTACCTATAAGCATCAGAATAAAACTTAGGCTATAATATATATGCATATTTTATGTATATATGTCTTTCAGTCTGAATGTTACGCCTTCAGCCTATTCTATGCGTTATAAAAAAATAGAATTTAATTCGAATTTTAAGTAAAAAGGAACCGCAGTTGATAAATGAATGATAAATATTTTCGTTATTCCACATAATTTCAGAATTATTATTCATAATACCTTTGCGGTGAAATGTTTTACACTTTCAAAAAGACAAGCGACATAATTGATACTGAAGGGTATTGACGGCACTTTTCAATTTTCCATATTGACGTTGCCTACGTTGGTAATCAAAGAAGAAGAATTCCAGTTCTTGAATGAAGAACGGTGACCGCAATATTCTAAGATAAGCTGGTAAATATTATAGGTACAGTTTCTGCTTTTAAGGACTGTAAAAACATGTCGGCTTATATTATAATTATTATTATAAATTTTTTGACAGTTAGGTAAGCCAGTTTCACGAAAAAATGACCAAACCTTTATTATTGAAATAAGAAATTTATAAATTACTACTCACCCCATCGGGACTCTGTTTTTTGACCTCGCAGAACTCATTGAGAACATTTTGTAGCTTTTTCGTCGAATCTGAAATATAACAATACTTACTTACATTACATTTACTAATTTTGCAAAGTTGAAGTTTAAATGTTTGTTTTAATATGTTTGCTTTCGTCCAAAGAAGAGATAGCGATTTAAGTATAAGGAAAATTTTATATTAACAAAAAAATTGATATTAGCAAGAAAATAATTTATGTCAACCCTTCACGAATATAATAATTAGATCACCGTACATTGACGGTCAGGGCATAAGCAGTGCGCAATTAATCGTAACCACAGCCCTGTAGCTTCGGACTCATTTGCAGCTAAATTGCAGTCTTGATAAAACAACCTAATAAATTGTAAAATTTTGCCATGGTTCACTAGCGTGCAGCAAAAAATAATTTTTAAGTAGAGTAGTTCGAGTAGCATGGCCTAGTTGTACAATATGGCCAGTATAATTACTATGACACAAACCAATACGGTGTGAGTTTTCGCCATATTGGCGCGCCCCTCTGTGTTTAGGTTATGGCGACAACGCGTTTGCCCAACACAAGCATCGTTCCAGAATTAGGTGATTGGTGTATTTTTTTTATTTTTGGTATGTTTCATACATTCCATTTCATCAAAGTATCATTTTGTTACATTAAATGTGTCGCCCTGTTATAAACCCGTATGAATTTAAAAAAAAAAAAACATGCTCGAAAAGGAACATCATCTCCTTTCTAGGATGATTCACGATTCAAGTGTAACGAGAAACATCCTTATCTCAATAGAGAAAAATGTTTCGTTTTACCACCTTGGAATCTAATAAATAATTCATAAAATTTAATCACTTCTAGCAAGAATACTCCAAGACCATTTCATCGAACAAATCATCAAGAAATTTACGTTGACCTTGAAATTAGTGCGTAAATTTATTAAATAGTAAGAAACCAAAGTACCATGACTAAAGTGCTCAGAACTTCGGGAATCAATAAAATAAAAATAAATTAAAGTCGAAATCCTTAAAACTGTTTTAGCAATGAGTAGGATTTTCGTAAAAAAAAGTATTATCCATTTTAATAACGTTAAGAGTCTAAGATAATTGGCGCGAAATGGCACCCTCGGGAACACATAAGGTTAATGGCAATAAATCATGAAACGATTACGAGCAAAAATATTAAGCAGCACAATTAAGGTAATAACGGCTATTGGGGTTGTGAGGCAAGCCTTCCCAAAGGCACAATTAGTTAAATTAAATTCGACCCCCGGTGCGGCTAAATTTAGGCCTGACGTCAACGGCTATCTGTGGAAAACGAGGGATTGCCCGTGAGTTTTTTTTTATCTAATACAGGCCATGTAACCTACTTACTTGAATGTGTAATTATGTAAATGAAAAGTGTATTTATGTAAGAAATAAGTTGGTCTGAGAAATGATAAAAATTGATGACCCACTACAAAACACTAGTCCAGTTTAACGTTGCGTACGTAACTCACAAAACAAAATCCTCCTAATATTATATGAATATAATGATCAATTAATACAGGCCCTCAATAAACTTGGCGATGCGTATTTCAGAACCAGTATTTTAAAAATGTTACAAATAATAAAACTCACTAAAGGATTTCGATCTAAAGTAATTTTTAGAATAAAATAGATAAGAGTGTAGCAAACTTTAACATCATTTGCAGTTTATAAAGCACAGATTCGGCTGCAAATGAAATACTATTCCCACCTCTTGGCTGGGGCACCGAAATACCAAATACTTCTATTTGACCGCATTCAATGAAGAGCTGCTCGAATCGTCGACGACCAGATTCCCTCGACTCTTTGGCCTTGCGAAGGGATGTTGCATTCCTTTGCATTTTTTATCGGATAAATCATGAAGAGTGCTCTGAGGAATTCTTCGGGCTGATATCTGCTGGTGAATTTCACCATCGTACAACTCGCCAAACCACCAACTATCATCGACACCATCTTGATGGTTGGCGGTCCAAATTATATGTCGTAATTCCCAGCGTCCTTCCCTTTGTTCGACTACAATGTGTCATAATGGCAAGAGTACCGGTTAACGAGCTAGCTATACACTATTATATAATTACCATTATTTACCATCAGGTGGTAAAGTTTTCCATATGTTTACCAGTCATAACTACCACTGGTTTTGGAGGCTAATAACTTACACGAGGCTAATTCCTGCAGCTGTTGGAATTCGGCGGGCGAGAGTTTGTCCCACTGGAACCCGCTGCCCGCCGTATTAGGCATGACCCTCTGAAAAAAAAAAATCAAAGATTTTTACACTGGTAAGAAAGAAAAAAAAAAAATAACACAAAACGAGTTAGGCATGACATCTGAGGATGAAATAATTTTTCATTTTAAATATAATAGTTTTGTGTTAAGTGCAGAGATTATCACTGAAACTTAAAATAATCATAAAAAGAAAGAACGAGAAGTTCAACAAAAGAACGCTCCCAGAATTAGGATGTTGATAGAATAGTTGGTCAGAGGGGGAAGTATTAAGATGGAATGATAGGTCAACTACTATGTAGACGGTGATAGATCACGTCTGTCACGCGATACTTTAATGGCGATAATGTCCAGTTAAAAAGAACCCTGCTTTTTCCACAAATATCTGTGAAGAAAGAATGTCATCTATAGACTAGCTGTACGCTGTCTGATGGCGACACTATAAAATATATTTCGAATAAAGATAATAATACATAGGTAGCACTAAAAGTTTCCAGAACTGGCCACGTACATAAACAATATTTAAAAAGTTACTATTACAACATTTAAAACTGACACTCTTTGGCTTTAGAATACAGTTTATTTTATCTGACTGTCAATTGCTTTTACATTGTGGCGCCATTTTAAAAATTGCGTGTCGACATTAACATGGATTTAACTCTGGAAAATTTTCGTAGTATGATTTTCTACGATTTAAGTATAATTTGACAGTTCAGCAGAGCCTCGTTCGGCTTCAATCTGCTTTTGGCGATGAAGCATCATGCCAAACGACTATTTATAGCTTTGCGGAGCCTTAGCTTTACGGAATTCAAGCGCAATCGTGTCAATCTCAGTGACGAATTTCACGACGGTCGCCAGTCCACCGCTGTGAACAACAAAAACATCGATGTTGTGCGCTGTATGATCGAAACAGACAAGCTTGTGAATCATACGTATCATGAAATTCTGGTATCCTTAGACATAGGCATGAGTCAAATACAATCAATCCTACACAAATATTTCGGAGTGAGAAAGCTATGCTCGCGATAGATTCTAAACAATTTGAGCGATTTTCAAAAAACGGACCGCTTCACTTGGTGCAATGCCACGCTTACGAGGTTCAACGAAGGGGCGTCAAATTTGGTGTGGAATATAATAACAGGTGATTTAACATGAATTTTATGCTACGATCCCAAAACAAATCAGCAATCGAGCGTGATCTTTCAAGATTAGCTGAAAACAACCAAAGCGGTGCGCCTGAAAAGTGCATCCAAGCGGATGATTGCTTTTGTTTTTAATAAAACTGGACACGTGGCTACTGTTGCTTTAGAGAATAGTCACTAGAGAGTGTAGTCACTATTGTATCAGTGTACATGAACATTTGTTTGCCGGAAGTTATTGACACACTGCGTAAAAATAACCATAAACAGTTCCCACACGGCCAGTCAAACAAAGTTGGTACTTAACGAGTTTTTGAAGGTGAGAAACGTAGAACTTATGAACCATCCTGCATACAGTCCCGAAATGGCACCTTGTGACTTTTTGTGTTGCTAAAATATCTATCTATACATAATAATTATAGTGAGGAAACCTGCATATTTTCGAATAATTAAATGAAAAATAACTAAAAAATATTTCTAAGATATGTGAAATCTGACAATCTACGGGGTCGCGTGGTGGACTAAGCTCGAATACCCTCTATACAAAGGAGGTGTTTACCCAGCATTGGAAAAAATATAGCGTGTTATTTTTAATTTTAATCTTAATCTTGCAATAAGAAAGCAATAATCATATCAAAATTCTTGATAGATTGATTGTTTTGATTTGAATCAACGTTAAATAAAACATTTTTTTAATTTCAATTACTATAGACGTGTTGTACGCTGATTTATACAGTGCGTTAATAATAATAGGGACTTTAAATGTATAAGAAAAGTAATAAATAAAATAATTAAAAAAAAGTAGTTACAAAAGGCCGGGATGTATATCGCGCACGCGATCGTTTTAAATATTAGTGACGAGTATGAATTGGATTTCCACTTAGCTTATTCACACTGGCAAATAGTTATACTAGAATAATTTTACAATGGAACGAAAGACTTAAAAACATTCTTGTCTTGAACATGGTGTTGTTATATATTATCCCGTATAACAGTACGTATAACAACAAGCTTTGGCTTCTATACTCACTCAGACGTGATTATATAAACTTATTAATTTGATTAATTACATCGCGTTTATTTTACTACTTAAAACTTGCGGTTAATTATTCTGAACGAAAACAAGGCGATAAAATTTACGAGCCAGTCCGGCCAAGAATATAAAGTAAGTACTTACGTGCACATCAGACTCAAGGATAGTTCCATGAAATACAAATACTTTATAAAGCTGTATGCATGTAACTCCGTTAGAGTTATAACATACTGTCAGCTGTCCTAGGAATGTCACGGAGCTTACCACTTTGTAAGGTATTATATTGTATTATAAGACGTTTTAGTAAGATATTAAAAGACATACATTCGTTACATAATCTGTGCACTGTGAAAATAGCATGCAAGGAAAAAGATAAATATGAAAATAACTTATTATTATGGTTCAATGATAATAATTTGATCATTAATTGAAAAACACACATAATGCATTTTGGAAAACGAACAAATACAATTAAAACAAATTATCAAATTATTATTTACAAATTCTATTATCAAAATGAATATTTTCATAATAGAGTGAGAAATATTCCTGCAGCTGCACAACAACATTTTTAGGTCTGATATTAGATAATAAATTAAATTATAAAATTCTAATAGAGACACTGTGCAAAATTTATAAGCATAGCGTACGCCATGAAAAATCTTTCAGTTAGGTTTGCTGAGTTAACGCACAAGATAACTCTAAAGAGTTATCTTTTGGGGCAATAGCACAGATAATTTAATGGCCTTTCGTGCCCCAAAAAGTTTCTTGCTTCTCAAAAGCTTTTCAAAAGCTTTTGTCTGATGTAGCACCTAGAAATAAACGTTATCAGTTCATAGTTCATAACTCTGCTTTCATCATACTAAAACTGCTCTTATGCGTAAGAGCATCTTTATCGATAATTTTAAATAAATTGCTCCAACGATGGAAATAATTTATAATAATTAATTTAATTTCAATAATAGGAGCACCCAATGTCTGTCGCATGATCATAGACGCTGTTGTTCCAAATGTTGGGAAATTAAATTTTAAAAATAAATTTTATTACGTTTATTTTTTTTTAAATAATAATTTATACTCGCGTTTACGTAATTTCGACAAGCGTCAGAAAATGGAAGAAATTACTCTTAGTAATAAGGCCGCCCATTGTACCCATCACTTCTACATTAAGTTTTAATTTTTGTTCGTTATATTTTTTGTGTGCAATAAAGTACATTAATTCATTCATTCAAACTAAATACAGAAAAATGTGCTAGCATAAACAAAAATACATTCAAAGGTCATCATAAGTCAAAATGTTATGTCTATCATCATAAAGCTGAATAAAGGGTGATTGTTACATTAGCAAAAAGAAAACCTCAATTCTCCCACTAATAAAAGCCAGTCGTTCTTAAGTCGGCAATTTCAATTTAGCGAGCAATCTCAACGAAGCCACGTTTCCGGCACCAGAGTCTAACTCAATAGCGATCTATTTCGATTAAGTTCGGGCTGCAAATTATTCGTGACATTTAATAACGTTGGCTTAGTCTATCTTTGCCTGAATTTTTTGTTTAGATAGCGTTGTTTTAACGATTCAAGCTTTTCTTATGCTTTGAGCCGCATAATTAAAAAAAAAAAACATCACACGTCTTTAATTATGCAGTAAGTGACATGAAAGAAATGTTGAAATATAAAACTTATTTGTAATTAATTACCTACCAAAATAAGCCTTATGTATCAAGTCAAACAAATAACATTATGTACAAATAATTATTATCAATTTTACATGATATACCTATGTATATGTATAAGTGTTTTTATTAAAAACTTGATTGTTACTCATATACTTAATACCTTTTTACGGTTTTCATCGCATTCAATTTGTTTTTACAATTCACAACGAGTACGTCTTCATAGCGATATAAAACAAATGATGTGGCGTCGTGGGACACCAGGTAGGAACGAAGTTCCTTCGGCTAATGTAGAATCGACACAGATTGCAAAAAAAATCGTGCTCAATTTTATGTAGGCTTTCTTGATTTTTCTCTTAAATTTTGCTGATTAGTTTTTATTTAAGTACAAGAAAGTATTTATGAAATTCAGTATTTTAGGAAATAATAAATTACTTAAAATAAAAAAAACATCGTAATTCAAATTATCAACTAAAATAACAAAATTATACACTACTCGCTTGTGTATGCGACTGTCGCGCCTGCGCACGTCTCATTTAACGGTTTTATTCCACGCACTTTTTTCCACGGATTTTTTCTTACGGTTTTACTATCACATTTTTATCAGTTCGGTCGCGCAGCAAAATCCCTATCCCCTCCAAGCCTGCCGTAAGGAACTTCGTTCCAATAGAGTGAGTAAGTGAGATAAAAGCAAGTTTTGATTCAATGTCATTAATAAAGGGTATAGTCACGAAAAAGTTTTATTAACATATTAAAAGAATACATTCGTTACATCTGTGCACTGTGAAAATAGCATGCAAGGAAAAAGATAAATACGAAAATGACTTATTATTATGGTTCAATGATAATAATTTGATCATTAAGATATATATGTATAAGAGCTTTATTTTATAACATACTTGATTTATCACCCAGCAAACCTTAATTAATTATAATTTCCTTGACCAATCAAATGTACGTTGATGTAAATGTACGATGATATATAAGGCCCCTAGCAACAACAGTTTTTTATAAATGAATACAAAAACATTTAGAACAGTGGTAGGAAGTCGAGACAGTTGTAGTCATTTATCTATCTTTCTATAAAATAGGTATTAGAAGGTTGCGGTGTTGCGATTAAAGATAACCTGTTTTGGGAGAGAAACCGTATTTGTACCTTATAATCCCTTTATATCT